AACCTCAAGTTGCAATACTATAGGATTCTGTGGAGAAAATACAGAATGATACAAGAAGCATCAAAAGAAGATGGAAGGAAAACACACAGTCACTGTACCACAAAATAATTGGTTGATATGAACTATTTCAGGAAGTAACATATGATCCAGAGCCAGTGGTAATAAAAGGAGTAAGTTCAAGATGAATTGAAGACACTGGCAAAGTAATGAGGCCCCAGGAATTGATGAGATACCAATTGTGTTTCAACAAACATGTACATTCTTGGATATGCTCATTAACTCATTCCAAAAAATTTGCCAAATGCTTGACCAGCTGACTTGTAGAGATCCATATTTGTTCCCATTGGCAAAAAAGGGGTCCAACAGAATGCAGAAATTATCAAAGAGTATCATTAATAACACATGCACGTAAAATCTTAAAATTATTTTTAAATGACTGGAACAGTATGTTACCAAGTAACTACCAGAAATTCAAGCTGGATTTAGAAGAGACCATCATATTTAAAAACAAAACAAAACAGGCCATCATATGAGGGATATTATTGATAATGTCAAATGGTTCTTGGCTCAAGTGGAGAGTATAAGAAAGTTGTTTACTAGTGTTTTATTGACTACGCAGGAAACATTTGACTGTGTAGACCATAACAAATTATGGATATGCTGAAAAGAATGGGAATCCCAGAACATTTATTTGTACTCATAGAAAACCTATGCCTCTGGAAACTCTATGACCTTTGATAAACAACAGTAGTTACAGAAAGGCTTCAGGCCTTTTGTTCATAGGGTCGCTGCGAGTCCTGCTCGACAGCAGTCAACAACAACAATGTAGGAAACCTAAACACACACCAAGAAATAGTTGTCTGAACAGAACAAGGGAATAATGTGTGCTTTAAAATCAGAATAGGTGTGTATCAGGGTTGTATCCTCTCTCCAGACCTATTCAATCTGTGTCCTGAATCCTGAAGCTGGATTCTCTAAAGAAGAATGTGGCTGGCATTAGGATTTTTCAAAGTCTCATTGGCAACCTAAAGATTATGCCTCTCTGGTTGTTTGGACCCAACAAGCTCTGCGGGAGAAAGATGTGTTCTCTCCTCCTGTGCAACTTGCAGCCTTAGAAATCCAAGGGAGGGTCACCTATGAGTTGGATTCTTCTCAGTAACAATGAGTGAGATTCTCCTGATAACCTCATAATCATGAACATTGCTTCTGAGTTCTATGTGGCCATTCCTGTGGATTAGCAGACCCAGTGGGAGAACAACAACAGTAGCTTCTTGGTCAGGGTATAGGTTTCACATGAGCACAGTCAATGTTCTGGGATTCCCATTCTCAATGTTAGCCTTTGCTTAGTTAATAATGCACAAATAGACAATCTGCTGGTATTCTTTTATTTCAGCCAGAATCCCTCAGGCATCAATAATGATATCCCTGGTGCCACAACCTCTTCTGAACCCATCTTAAAACTTGACAGTTCTCTGTCAGTGTATTCTTCTGGCCATTTTAGAATGATCCTCAGCAGTATTTTGCATGCATGTGATATTAATGATACTGTTTGGTAATTTCCACATCCTGTTGGATTATCTTTCTTTGAAAGGGGAACAAATATGGGTCTCTTCTAGTTCTGGATCCAGAAGCTGTCCAGACAGAGCAAAGGAACATTACATGGTTTAAAACTAAAAAAGGTGTGTATCAGGGCTGTATCTTTTCTCCATACCTGCTCTATCTATATGCTGAGTAATTCAAGAAACTGGACTCTATCAAACCAATGATTGCTGAAAATCAATGATGCATTTGTTAGGGTATAACTCATCGTTTACAGTATGTTTTAGGTGACATCATAACACTAAATGGTGAATAAAGTATTTCCAATAAATTTATACAGCAGTGAAGGAAAAACAAAGAAACTGGACTCTAACCAAAGAATGTGGGTGGCATCAGGATCACAGGAAGACTTGTTAACAACCTGTATTATGCCAATGACACAAACTTGTTTACTGAAAATGAGAAAGACTTGAAGCGCTTGCTACAGAAGATCAAAGATTACAGCCTTCAATATGGATTACATCTCAAAATCAAGAAAACAAAAATTCTCACGACTGAACCAATAGGCAACAGGTAGATGGAGAAAAGATTGAAATTGTCAACAACTTCATCTTACTTGGATCCACAGTTAACACTTTTGAGACCAGCAGTCAGGAGATCAGGAGACATAGTGCATTATAAAAGTTTGCAGTCAGCAACCTCTCCAAATTAGCCGAGGAGCAATTGTGTCCATTTAAAGACAAAGGTGGCCTCATTCGGGCCTGGACAGTGAATAAGGATGACAAAAGAATTGATGCCTTTGAGCTGACACTAGAGAAGATATTCAATATCCCATGAATTACCAAAAAAGAATATATGTCTTTAAGAAAGTACAACCATAGTACTCCTTGGAGGCAAAGATGACCAAGTGTCTTCTCACATACTGTAAGCATGTTGTTAGGAGAGGCCATTCCTTGGAGAGGGACAAGAGTATAGAAAGAACAATGGAATGACCATATCTGACCTTTACAAACTCCACAAGGGGGAACTGCCCTGCTAGCAACATCCAAAACAGAAAACCAATTCCCATGATGTCAGACATTTCCCCCACACACGCCTCATTCTACTTGTCCCAACACCAGTCTTACTGCTCTGCTGGGTCCAAAAGCTGTTGGGGTAGCTCACAGACCATGCAGAATCATATTAGAGAAATCAAAAGGCTATATATAGTTCATGTTAGTAGCAGAATGCAATTACTCAGTGAGGACACCTGCTGAAATGTGTTCGCAGGCACCATAGCCTGGAGCCTCACCATGACTTCTGGCTAATGTTTCAAAGCTGTTAGTCCTCCCAGTTATGGCTCTCCTCCATCAGTCTTCAACAAATTTGGTCAGAGGGTCCTAACTCTGGTTCCACCGAATAGCAGCTCAAGGTTGGGTCTGTCTCACGCGGGGTCTCTGGTTCTCTGCTTCGGCTCCTGCTGCTGCTGCTCCTGTAGGCCCCAATCCAAGTGGCACAGGAATCTTTGCCCTTGAAGGACACACACTCTGGATGCTCTGCTTCTGCTTTGCTGCTGGTAAAATTCCCAAATTCTGCTACTGAATCTGCTCAATTTAATGGTAAGGCTAGCCAGTCCCCTTGTAGATAGCTAAGATACCCTAGTCACATATCCCTGCCCATCCACATGTTAAAGTGAATGGCTGGGAAAGCCATTTTGAACAATAAATCCTTAATACCACAAAAAGGAAGACCCTCAGCTATATGAATTGACAACAGCAATGGGCTCAAGTGTGTCAGAAATGATGTAGGTAACACGAGGAAGGACTGGGTTCAGATCTGTTGTTCATAGAGTTGCTCTGAGTCGTACTTGACTCAACAGCACCTGACAGCAGAGGTAGAACAGCAAGCTCTATGAGGGACAGTTGGTGTTAGGCCTCGGGGTAGGTGCTGGGACCGTGGGAACTGACTTCATAGGAGTAATTTCTGTGCGGCTGGTGTTGTAGATTAGGACTATCCCCCCCATGGAATTAATGGAGATTAGCTGCAGTCGCCTCTACCCTGGCCGCTCTGTTTATCACAAGAGTATTTTGCAGTTTGTGGTGTGCGCCAGTTATTCTCTTAATTCCTGATGTTGGACACAAGTTGGTTTCCACCTACTTCCTACATGCAGACCCAGGTCCCTGAATCCTGTGCTGGTTTACATTCGAGTTAAGTCTTCTGTTATCAGTCCCACACTTTTCGTTTTTTAAAAACTCCTATTGGAAGCTTTACTTGATTAATTTTGAAAAGGTATCCTAATTATATAGACTTTCTACCTTTAATAACTTTATTCATATTGCTCCTCCGTACTATTTAAGAACACACCCCCAGGAATAGGTCTGCTCTCTTGGTGCTGTCGTGACGGTGAACTTGGGTTCCGCTGTCACTTTGCTTGGATGGGTATGCTGCTCATTTGCAGGAAAGCTCTCCACTGCTCCGCATCTACATGTGACTGTCCGAAGGCCCTCTCAGGACTATCATGTTGTCCATGTTGACACCTCCGAGTAGTTTTACCTCTTTTTGGTTGTTTTGGTTTTTCCCCCACAGTTAGACCATGTGTTAAGTCTAGGTAGTAAAAACAAGTACTTTGGTCCATGAGGTTGATGGGTGTGCTCTCCTGGACCCTCCCCTTGCGGATTCCCATAAAGGCATTTAGTTTATTGTGGTTATTCTCAATTGTTTTTATTGTTGTTATGTACCATTGAATTGGAACTGTCCCATAGCTAACGCTGGTGGGTTTTCAGAGGCATTTAATTGCATGGAAAGAGAATGCCCATTTTCCCCATAAAGCAGCTGTTGGATTTGAACCATGTACCTTTCAGTTGCCTACACAACACCTTAATACTAGGCCACCAGAGCACCCTCAATCTTAATTAGGTGAGGTCATTTATCTTTGCTTCTGGATAGAACGCAGTTTGGTCATGCCTTGAACATCTGTCAAGGTCATCACCCGCTCATCTGTTTCACAAATATTTGAATGTCTTTAATGTTTCAGTCCCCAAGAATGGGGTGCAGTGTCAGTGGGGATCCCTCCAAAGTAAATGGTTCCCATGAGCATCATCCCTCTGTCCATCTTTCTCCATCTGCCCTGCCACCTCTTGTTGAAGCTAAGGTGCCCCTCATTTCTGTGACTCTGTTCCGAAGATAGAGTCCTGGTGTCCAAGAAATGTCCCTTGGTGGTCCTGCCCCTCAGGGCTTCGGCAGTAGCCTCAGTGTGAGCTGCCCCTCCTGAATCCACCTATACTGGAGAGAGGGACTGAGAGTGAAGAACAGGACCAGAGGAAATGAGAGAGGACAGGCCGGGACTCCAGATTCATTCCTAGGTTGTAGCATCAGAAAGGCAACCCCCACAGTCTAAAGCAGCAGCAGTTCAGAAGGTGGGCTGTTGGAGTTGTTGGCACAGATGCTCTAACACTCCTATGCCCCCTCTTCTGCTCTTCCAGCTCCCCCCCACCAGGCGTGCTCCTGGAGAAGGACTATGAGACCTACCAGGACTACAGCACAGATGGCCCACTCCTGCACTACAGGTAAGCCCACTTACTTGCCTTTCTGGCAGGTTCCATCAGGGTCTTCTCAGCCGAGGCGGGAACAAGGCTGTGGTTTGTCTTCAGCGTGAAGTGGACATGGCAGGGGCAGTCACCAAGGACACAGAGATGGTTCCTTGGGGCCATGCCACCTTTACAGCCAGCAGCTCTCATTGTGCTGTCACCTGAGGAACCCTGGGGACACGGGTGATAAACCGCACATCTGAACGCTGGAGGTGAGGCCTGGGACAGGGCCTGCTTCTCAGTCCACAGAGGCACTCAGAGCCCAGAGTCTCTTGTCCAGGCTTGCTGATCAAGCAGGGCTGAAGGCCAGCAGGTGACTACCAGTGGCAGAGACTTGGGGGGTGGGAGCTGGCTTGACCAGGTCTGGGCAGTGTGGGTGTTGTGTTTGTGGTCAGCAGCCATGTCATGACTTGGAAACAAGCAGCCCAGGGCTCCAGACCAGTTGACCACAACCAGAGCTGGACACAGATGTGGCGGCTACACCGGGCAGAAGTGCTTCTCCTCAGGTGCAGGAAGCAGAGCAGGAGCCATGAGGGAAGTGTACCGACCTGGGCAGGTCGGGGTATAGTCCCTCTGACCCCGGAGGAGGAGCCGCGCTTGTGAAGGGCCATTCTGGAGGATGTGTGCCAGCCTTGGGTGTTGGTGTTCAGGGGTTAGTCAGGCCTGGAATCCTTGTTCAGGTGCAGTAATTCCCTCCCGCTGCCCTCTGCAAGGTGTCAGGCCAGGGGCTGGAACCAGCAGGTGCATGTGTGGGAGTCGCAGAAGGGAGGGCAGCCCTGCGAGGAGGAGTGTGGTCACTCAGACCTCAACAAGAGTGGCGTGGGAAATGCTTAGTGGTGTGTGACCTTCAGGCCAACCTGCTGACTCCACAGGGCTTCCTCGCTGCAGTGGACCACTGGGACCAAGGAGCGCATGCTCATCAAGGTCACCGACAGAGAGCCCAGCTTCCTCTCCCCCCAGGGCAACGGCTTTGCCTCCGATGGTCAGCCCGGGGCGCGAGCCAGGAGGCCGTCTGGCAGCCAGCACTCCCCCGGCCTGCAGACTTTTACCCCCGATGCAGACAGCACCGTCTTCTTTCCCGAGAGACGGCCATCGCCATTCCTGAAGAGAGCGGAGCTGGCAGGGGGCTGCTCCCCGCATCCAGCCCGAGGAGGCGATCCCTTTTGCGCCCCGCCCCGTAAGGCTTCCAGTGACTCTCAGCCTTCCTCCCCTCGCTACGCCTATGAGCCCCCTCTCTATGAGGAGCCGCCAGTGGAGTACCAGGCCCCTATCTACGATGAGCCCCCAGTGGACATGCAGTATGAGGCCAGCGGGGGCTACAAGGCCGGCTCCCCCCAAAAGGCATCCCTGCGCAAGCCACGCCCCTTCCTGCAGTCCCCCAAGCACACATCCCCCTCACCTTACCAGCAGCTGGTACTCACCAAGCAGAGAGCCCCGGAGCGCTTCATGAGCCTAGACTACAGCCCTGCGGGCAAGGAGTATGTGCGACAGCTGGTCTATGTAGAGCAGGCTGGCTCCAGCCCCAAGCTGCGCGCTGGCCCTCGCCATAAGTACACACCTAACCCTGGTGGTGGCTCCTATTCGCTCCAGCCTAGCCCCTGCCTGCTGAGGGACCAGCGTCCGGAGGCCAGGTCCGGGGACTACAGCAGCATGGAGGGGCCTGACTACCGGCATGGCCCACCACCCACACCACTACCCTCTGCACAGGACGATGCCATGTCCTGGTCCAGCCAACAAGATACCATGTCCTCCATGGGCTGCTCTCCTGGCCCACGCAAGAGGAAAAGCAGGAAGCCCTCTCTGTGCCAGGACCCCAACACCTCATCCACCGACGGCTCAGCAGACCGTAATCCCCTTGGTGAGCCCCTGCTGGCTGAGGAGCGGCCCTCATGTGGGCCTGGGCTGGCCCCACTGAAGCGCACAGAGGGCCGACTGGGTGAGGTGGAAGGGGCACGGGTCTGTGAGCCTTTCTTGGCACAGGCACGGCTGGCCTGGGAGGCACAGCAGGCCCATTATCACATGAAGCAGCGGAGCAGCTGGGACTCACAGAAAGATGGCTCGGGCTATGAGAGTGACGGTGCAGTGCCGCTGCCCATGCCAGGGCCTGTAGTGCGTGCCTTCAGCGAGGACGAGGCCCTAGCCCAGCAGGACAGCAAGCACTGGAAGAGGACCACCTTCGAGAAGCTAGGCTTCCCTCAGATCCTGCTGGAGAAGAGCATCTCTGTCCAGACTAACCTGGCCTCCCCAGAGCCCTACTTGCACCCCTCACAGGTGAGGCCAGGCAGGTGTGCACAGAGGTGGGGTGGGTCCCTGGGAGCCCTTATTCTCCAGCCTAGCCTTCCAAGGCTGCCCTGAGGTCAGCTGTGGTGGGCAGGGCCCTCCACAGTGATAGCAGATAGAGATCCCTTAGACTAGGTTTAGGGACGTGAGGGCAGCACTGGAGAGGAGAGTGCTCGGAGCTTGGTGTTTCCTGGTCGCCACTGGGCTTGGTGCCCCATGTTCTTCTGGACCTATGGAGCAGGACCACTGGATCCCACCACAACCCAAGGGTTACTGTTATCCCCATTGCCCCCTTAGAGATGAAGAATGATCCCTGCTCTGACACCTCTGTCGCCCACTATCCAGGAGTTTTACCATCTAAGGAGGTCCGGGACTTACACGGGCCTGGGAGGATATGTGTTGGTTACCCATTTCTCCTTCAAGGCCTGAGCTGTCTCCCCATTAAGGCTTTCTTCCTGCAGCAACCCATGACACCATGAGCTCCCATTTTAGTGAGGTTTGACATCCTCCTACTCAGCCTTCTTCCTTAGGCCCTGCTTGAATGAGGAATAGATACTTCTCAGGGATGATAAGTGGGGGCATTGACTGGGCTGACTGGACCCTCTGGGTTGACAAGGAGGTTATAGACTGGGCAGGCTCAGCCCTTCAGGTTGATGGACAAGGGCATAGACTAGACAGGCTTGGCCCTTGGGGTCAATGGACAGGGGTGTAGACTGGGCAGGCTAGGCCCTCAGGGTTGACGGGCAAGGGCATAGGCTGCTGAGGGTTGAGAATAATATGAGCATAGACTTTGGCATGACAGACTTCATGTGGGAAGCTAGTTGGTAGCTTTCAGGTCACTCCTTCCCCTCCTGACACCACACAGGCTGCACTGTGCCTTTGGTCAGTGACCTGGCTCACAGCCTAAGCTGTGGCCCACGAGCCACACACACACAGATCAGGTGGGCCTGGCTCACATCATGACTTGGTCAGCTGGCCCTATCTATCCCTGACCATCCGATTGCCCTTCCTAGTCCGAGGACCTTGGTGCCTGTGCCCAGTTTGAGAATGGCCGGCAGGGCCGCAGCATGATGCCCAGCGCCAGCTGTGTCTTCCCTGCCTTCACACTGCGCAAGCCTTCCTCTGAGACAGACATCGAGAACTGGGCTTCCAAGCACTTCAACAAGCACACGCAGGGCCTCTTCCGACGCAAGGTGTCCATCGCCAACATGCTGGCCTGGAGTAGCGAGTCCATCAAGAAGCCCATGATCATGACCAGTGACCGACACGTGAAAAAGGAGGCCTGTGAGATCTTCAAGCTCATCCAAATGTATATGGGTGACCGTCGGGCCAAGGCTGACCCCCTGCATGTGGCCCTGGAGGTGGCCACCAAGGGCTGGAGTGTGCAGGGCCTGCGGGATGAGCTGTACATCCAGCTGTGCCGGCAGACCACAGAGAACTTCCGCCTAGAGAGCCTGGCACGAGGCTGGGAACTCATGGCCATCTGCTTGGCTTTCTTCCCACCAACACCCAAGTTCCACTCCTACCTGGAAGGCTACATCTACCGGCACATGGATCCTGTCAACGACACGAAAGGTAAGGCCAAAGTGAAAGCTCAGCTGCCCAGTTCAACTTGGCTATAGCATCCTGGGCCACTCTGCATGGGGGCTGTGCCAGGTAAGGAGGGGAGTGGAGAGAACTTGCTGGCTGACAGGCTTTCGGTGTTGACAGATATGCTTGACCCCTAAAGGCCGGTGTGCCTAAGTGGCACTGGCCTGGCTCTGGCGAGGATCGGTAAGCCCCATGCCTGGTCTGTAGGGACTTTCTGGGAGCAAGTAGCCTTGGAACCTGCATCCCTGTCAATGTCATGATTGCCCTAGATGCTTCCAGAGGGACCTTGAGATGGCACGGCCTGAGCCAGAGCTGTCTCCACTGCCTGCCCAGCCTTGACCTGCATGGGTATCTTAATAAAATACCTGCTGCTGAAAAAGAGGATCAGAAAACAAGACACAGATCGTCAGGGCCACAGGGCCAGGCTGAGACCAGTCTAGAAAAGCCAGCTTGCCAGGTATTCGGCCTGGCTGTCTTGATCCATGGGCCCAGCATTTCACTCCCCTTCACCTGAGGTGGGTGGTGTGCCCTCTATCCTAGTGCTTTCTGCCCGTGGTGTCCCAATATGCATGTGAGCATGAGCTGCGGTCAGCTTAAAGGTGCCCAGAGGAAAGCCTTTGGAGAGGCTTCTAGGTGAACTGGAGCCACAGAAAACAAAGAGGTCTTATCTTGTATGCTGGCAGGTTCTGTGCTCCAGCTATAGGATCTCATGCCTATACCCGAGACAATCTGGCAACCAGACTCTGTCTCTCCTGAGACCCACTCCTGAGTGTACTTTTCTACACCCAGGGTGCCACCTCATCTCAAATGGACCAGCCTACTGTCTGAGGAGGCCCACCCAGCCTGAGTGGTTGTCCTTCATCTCAGACCCATGTGGGTTAGGGCTGCTCCCTAGTAGAGAGGGATGCCATCGAACCAGGATGAAGCTGGAGGCTGAAACTTAGAGGAACCAAGTGCCTATCTTAGGGGATATGGCTGGTGAGAGAATAACTGAGTCTAGCTCCTGCACATGACTCACTTTCCCCATGACACTGTGTACCTCAGCTTTAGGAGCCTGTGTTTCATCCACCAATATCAGTATCTATGTGATGGCCACTGTATGGTGGCTATACCCAGGGAGCCATTGAGAGTCACACCATCCAAAGTGGGCCTGGCTTCAGCCCATGTCATGTGAGCCCTCCATGGCTCTGCTTTGTCTTGTACATGGTCACACCTTTGTTCCAATCACCAGCTGGCATTTCCAGTTTGTCCTCCTGTGACCTCCCTTAAACAGGCACAGATGTTGCAGAGGTGCTTGGCAGTACTTCATTCACTACTCACGCCTTCATTCATCGTCAAAACAGAATACCTTCCATTTAGAGATGGTGATTGAATGCATTTACCTGTCTTGAGCCACTATTAAAATAACAGAGAAGGAATTTATCAAAGAGCAGAAATTCAGAAGAATAAAAAGAAAAAGGAGTAATAGTGTTTTAGAAGCCAGTGAGCACATGGGCAAGTGGTGAAAACCTGACTTAATAAACCAAGGTGTACCTTAGCATAAGCTGGAAAGGCTGAGAAGAAGCAGGTAAAAACCCTTCAAAGCTCAGGAGTAGAACATTATACTTCCTCCAGCAACAAGGGTGGAGGAATGTCACTAAAACCAAAAACAGAAGGGCTTTTCAGAAAATGGCAGGAGCAGAGTGAGTGAAAATAAATCTGGCTCCACATCTCCTGGAGTCAGCTCTCAGCCCAATATTAAGATAGTGCATATTCTGGGCCGTAAAACAAAGTCTAAGGAAATACTAAAGAATATAAATCATTGTAAGGATTTTCTCTGAACACAATGAAATGAAATGAAATTAGGGACTGGAAACCTATAACTATCTAGAAGATCCCCAAGTATTGGGAAGCTGGAGGACATACAACCCATAAGTCAAATAAAAAAAAGCTTTAAAAAAATTTAATTAGAAAATAATGGAATAAAATTTAAATGTATAGGTCCAGTCAAAGCAGTCCTTGGAGAGAAAATTTCTACCGCATTCATGCATCTATAATCTGCTTAAGTCAGAATCAACAGCAATGGTGGGTTTTGTTTATTTAAATTCTTGCATAGAGAAGGATCATCAAGTTCTGCTTTAAAGAACTTAAGGAAGAGGGGTCTGGAAAAGAGCAAATCATTGCAAAGTAAGCAAAAGAAAGGAAATAATGAAGATCTAAGTGGAAATAGGTTATAAGGAAAGCAAAAGCAATATGTGAAAATGAAAATAAAAGCACATTCTTTCAGGACATTTGGTAATTTAGCTCACTGGCAGATCATAAAAAGAAACTATAGCAATAACCAGTAAGCTCTGGTGGCCTCATAGATAGTTGCACTGCAAATCCAATAGCAACCAGTTTACATTCACCAGTTTCTTCTTGGGGAAAATTTCCTCCATGCAGTTACAGCCCCTGAAAAACTCCAGAAGACCTACAACCGGGAAAAGATAAATGAATGGGATCTTCTAAGACTCAAATCCCTATGCACATCAAAAAACTTCTCCAGCAGGGTAAAAAGGGAAGCCACAGACTGGGGAAAAAGTATTTGGTAATGACATATCAGATAAGGGACTTATATCTAGACTTTATAAAATACTCAAGCCCCATAACAAGATAAAGGTAAACAACCCAACTGAAAAATGGGCACAAGATATGAACAGACAACACTTCACCAAAGAAGACATTCAGATGGCCAACAAGCACATGAAGAAATGTTCAAAATCCCTAGGTCTAAGAGAGATGCAAATCAAAACAACTATGAGATACCATGTCATCTCACCGCTAGCAAAATTTAACAGAACAGCAAGCAGCAAATGCTGGCAAGGTTGTGGAGAAACTGGAAACCTTATTCACTGTTGGTGGGAGTGTGAAATGGTGCAACCACTGTGGAAGGTGGTATGGCGCTTTCTCAAAAAGTTGCAAATAGAGATACCATTCGACCCAGCAATTCCACTACTGGGAATATACCCCAACGAGACCATAACTGACATTCAAGCAGATATATGCACACCCATGTTTATCGTGGCTTTGTTCACAATAGCAAGGATTGGAAACAACCTAAGTGCCCATCAACAAACGAATGGATAGAGAAGCTGTGGGATATTCACACAATGGAATACTATGCTGCATTGAAAAACAAGGAACTAAAAAGAAAAACAAGGAACTCATGCAATATTAATCAAAATGGGTGACCCTGGAGGACATTATGCTGATAAAGTATCTCAGTCACAAAAGGACAAATACTGCATGGTGCCACTGTTGAACAACAGGACTGACCTTGGGGTTGGGGGGAGACTGAGAAAGATGGGTTTAATAATGTATACCACATCGAAACAGATGAGGGAGAAAACTGTTTAAAAGGGATATGTGATTAGGTGTTTGTGTCATGACGGGAGTCCAGAGCGAAGGCTCCATAGTGGAGTGGACCTCGGGGGAGGGTTTGTAAAACAGTGAAAGAATTTTACTTTTCCAAGAAGGTAGTGTACTAGGGGGTTGGGTTGGGAGGGGAGAAAAGTGCAACAGTGAATGAATGGAAACCCAAAGTCTCTAAATTTTCATTTAAATTAATAATAAATTAAAAAAAAAACAAAAACCAACTTCCAGAAGGTCAGCTATGAATCAGTTCCTTCTTGACAGCACTAACCACAATAGTAACCAGTATCAGAAAAGAGAGGCTCCCATGAATTCTACAGATATTAAAAGGATTATGAAAGAATATAAAGAAAGGCATATAGTATGCAAAGATTGCTGAACTTTGAAAAACAGTTTGTATAATCAACCACATCAGTAAAAAAAGAAAAAGAATCATGATTATCTCAGTCTAGGCAGAAAAGGCATTTGACAAAATTCAATACCCTTTCCTGATTAAAAATGCTCAGCCTCACAGGAACAGAAAGGAAATTATGTTGTTATGTGCCGTCAGTCACTTGCAACTCATAGCGACCCTATGTACAACAGCCCTAAAACCTACTCTGTCCTGTGCCAGTCTCACTGCCTCTGACACACCCATCCCGATTACCTCAGTCACTGAATCAATTCACCTCACAGAGGGTCTTCGCCTTCTGTGCAGTCCCTCCAGCCTCTGAAGCATGATGTCCCTCTCCAAGGACCTGTCTCTCCTTACAACATGTCCAAAGTATGTCAGACGAAGCCCCAGAATCTTTGCCTCCAAGGAGCAGCCTGGTTTAACCCTCTCCAGGATGAATCTGTTAGTTTTCTTGGTAGTCCAGGGTACATTCAGTACTTGTCTCCAGCACCACAGGTCAAAGGCATCAATTCTCCTTCTATCCAGCATAATTCTCCTTCTATTCAGCATAATTAAGTATTTATGCATCACTCAAAAATAATAAAGAATTCATGGTGTATTCCAGAACATGGATGAATCTAGAGAAAATGATGCTGAGAGACATAACTGAGTCACAAAAGTACTACTATACTATAAAAGCACTATTACCAAAAGCTAGAAAGGTTTACATAAAGATAGAATTGTTCTTGGAATGTTACCAGAGAGGAAAAAGAGAGGTAAAAAGAAGTTGAGTGAAAGGAAAGGCAGTACTGAGTAAGGGGCTAATTGTTGTTGTTAGTGCCATCCAGTCAGGTGATGGCACGACTGATAGTGACCCAGTGAACTCAGGATCTGAACCATGTTCTATTCTGTGCCATCCTCACACTTCCTGACACACAAGAGTCCAATACAGCAGTCACCGTGTCAATCCACATGGTTGAGGGTCTTCCTCTCCTTCGCCCACCCTCCACCCTTTCCAGCATCATGTCCTTCACCAAGAAATAGCCTCTCCTAGCAACATTCCCAAAGTATGTGAGGCAAAGCCTCATGGTTCATGCCTCCAAAGAGCACTCTGACTGAACCTTCTCCAAAACACACCTACTTGTTCTCCCGGCCATCCATGGATGTCCAGTGCTCATCTCCAACCATAGCTCAGAGGGGTCAATTCTGCTGTAATCCTTAT